TAATCCACAAAACAGTCTATAGTGTGCAATGGGTAAATTTTCATCATTTTATATTTTTAATTTTGCACATTGTTTGTTTTTTATTTTGTATAGTAGGGTCATCTGGGCATCATCTGCAAGAAAAAGAGCACCATGGCATAATTCTCTGCCAGAAACTTGGAAACAGCATGCTGCACTGCTTGGCATTTGGCCTAGAAACTACAAAACAAATATTTCAGAGTGTTTGGATGTCAATCTGAGGACAGTGCAGAGGATTTGGAAAGAGTTGGATGAGTCTAATGGTGATTACAAGATACAGCAGCTTGGAATACTCACTCTGATCATTCTGATAATAAATGAACCCCTGAATTTGCTGGTGAGGGCCTCATACTGAACATGGAGGCCAACATCAAGTAACTTGAGGAGGTAGTGCAGCCCTGGGTCAAGAGAATGGTTGCTGGAAAACCCTGTGTCTGGCAACAGGAATTTACACCATACAAGCAGGAGAATCCAGTTATGGCTGTCAGACAATTTCTGTGACTACATCACCCCTTAAATCTGGCCACCTAACTCCCCAGACTGCAATACCTTTGATTATTATGTGTGGGGCACAGTTGAGTCAGAGTTCAACAGAACTGCTTGTAACACCAACATTGAACTGAAGGCAAGAATTATGGTAGCATTCACCAACTTAAACAATGACACTGTCCAAAGAGATGAAGATGATTCTGAAGTTGTCTGGAGATTGTGGTTGAAACCAATGGTGATTTTATTGAATAAATTTATTCATTAATATTTCAAGATATTTTTTGTAAATATAAGTGTTAAAATGAGATATCTGTACTATTTCCATTTTTGCATAATTTAGATGACATGTGTATGATATGCTAAAGACAAAATTTTTTTATTTTTTGCATAATTTAGATGATATATGCATGATATATCAAAGACAAAATAATCCAAATAGAAACAAGTCAGTGGCAGCTGTTGCCATTAATGCATTTCGGATATGCTAATATTGATATCCTCTCCAACCATTGACCAATGAAAAAATTTTCATTGATAAAAGCAGTTGGCAATCCATCACACACTGTATAATGATATCCTGCAAATTATAACTGTTAAAATGAGATATCAGTCTTATTTCTGTTTTTTGGGGTTTTTTGCATAATTTAGATGACAATTTATCCATCGCACGCTGTATGATGATATCCAGCAAAATAGTATACTAAGATGATAAGCTTTTAAAATGGAAGAAATATAATAATTATTTGAATTCTGAAACAAAATTATTTCTTCCCTTTAATTTAATTTAGAAAAGGTAGTCCAAATATCGTTAGACATGCCACATGTTGAGAACACCAAGTAACAACCTTATACTGGATTGGTCATGAGACATGGATGCTCATAGCTGAGCTACAAAGAAAGATACAGGCAGTGGAAATGAGAGGCTATCACACCATACCTTGGCCATATCACCAATGATCAAGTACATAATAAAATCCAGCAGCACATTGGCGCCATGAAAACCTTCTAACTACAGTGATGAAAAGAAAGCTCAGATGATATGGGCTTGCAAATATAGTTCTTCAAGGAATCATGGTTGGATGTAGGAAGAGGGGAAAACAGAAGAAAAGAGAGCTGAGATGGTATGGTCACATAACATGATTGGATAGCCTTACAAAGACAGTTCTTCAAGGAAATGTAGGGGGATATAGTAGGAGGGGAATAAAGAAGAAAAGGAAGGAAGTTGGTTGGTATGGCCATGTAATATGATAGGATAGCCATGCAAAGACAGTTCTTCAAGAACAATCTGGTGGAATGTATAAAGAAGAAAAGGAAGTGAAGTTGGTATGGCCATGTAACATGGTAGGATAGCCTTGCAAAGACAGTTCTTCAAAGAACAATCTGGTGGAATGTAGGAGGAGGGAATAAAGAAGAAAAGGAAGTGAAGTTGGTATGGCCATGTAACATGATAGGATAGCCTTGCAAAGACAGTTCTTCAAAGAACAATCTGGTGGAATGTAGGAGGAGGGGATAAAGAAGAAAAGGAAGTGAAGTTGTTATGGCCATGTAATATGATAGGATAGCCTTGCAAAGACAGTTCTTCAAAGAACAATCTGGTGGAATGTAGGAGGAGGGGAATAAAGAAGAAAAGGATGTGAAGTTGGTATGGCCATGTAATATGATAGGATAGCCTTGCAAAGACAGTTCTTCAAAGAACAATCTGGTGGAATGTAGGAGGAGGGGAATAAAGAAGAAAAGGAAGTGAAGTTGTTATGGCCATGTAATATGATAGGATAGCCATGCAAAGACAGTTCTTCAAAGAACAATCTGGTGGAATGTAGGAGGAGGGGAATAAAGAAGAAAAGGAAGTGAAGTTGGTATGGCCATGTAACATGATAGGATAGCCTTGCAAAGACAGTTCTTCAAAGAACAATCTGGTGGAATGTAGGAGGAGGGGAATAAAGAAGAAAAGGAAGTGAAGTTGGTATGGCCATGTAACATGATAGGATAGCCTTGCAAAGACAGTTCTTCAAAGAACAATCTGGTGGAATGTAGGAGGAGGGGAATAAAGAAGAAAAGGAAGTGAAGTTGGTATGGCCATGTAACATGATAGGATAGCCTTGCAAAGACAGTTCTTCAAAGAACAATCTGGTGGAATGTAGGAGGAGGGAATAAAGAAGAAAAGGAAGTGAAGTTGGTATGGCCATGTAACATGATAGGATAGCCTTGCAAAGACAGTTCTTCAAAGAACAATCTGGTGGAATGTAGGAGGAGGGGAATAAAGAAGAAAAGGAAGTGAAGTTGGTATGGCCATGTAACATGATAGGATAGCCTTGTTCTTCAAAGAACAATCTGGTGGAATGTAGGAGGAGGGGAATAAAGAAAAAAGAAAAGGAAGTGAAGTTAAAGGTATGGCCATGTAATATGATAGGATAGCTTGCAAAGACAGTTCTTCAAAGAACAATCTGGTGGAATGTAGGAGGAGGGGAATAAAGAAGAAAAGGAAGTGAAGTTGGTATGGCCATGTAACATGATAGGATAGCCTTGCAAAGACAGTTCTTCAAAGAACAATCTGGTGGAATGTAGGAGGAGGGAATAAAGAAGAAAAGGAAGTGAAGTTGGTATGGCCATGTAACATGATAGGATAGCCTTGCAAAAGACAGTTCTTCAAAGAACAATCTGGTGGAATGTAGGAGGAGGGAATAAAGAAGAAAAGGAAGTGAAGTTGGTATGGCCATGTAACATGATAGGATAGCCTTGCAAAGACAGTTCTTCAAAGAACAATCTGGTGGAATGTAGGAGGGGGAATTCAAAGAACAATCTGGTGGAATGTAGGAGGAGGGGAATAAAGAAGAAAAGGAAGTGAAGTTGTTGGCCATGTAATATGATAGGATAGCCTTGCAAAGACAGTTCTTCAAAGAACAATCTGGTGGAATGTAGGAGGAGGGGAATAAAGAAGAAAAGGAAGTGAAGTTGGTATGGCCATGTAACATGATAGGATAGCCTTGCAAAGACAGTTCTTCAAAGAACAATCTGGTGGAATGTAGGAGGAGGGGAATAAAGAAGAAAAGGAAGTGAAGTTGTTATGGCCATGTAACATGATAGGATAGTTGAAAGACAGTTCTTCAAAGAACAATCTGGTGGAATGTAGGAGGATGAATAAAGAAGAAAAGGAAGTAAAAAATATGGCCATGTAACATGATAGGATAGCCTTGCAAAGACAGTTCTTCAAAGAACAATCTGGTGGAATGTAGGAGGAGGGAATAAAGAAGAAAAGGAAGTGAAGTTGGTATGGCCATGTAACATGATAGGATAGCCTTGCAAAGACAGTTCTTCAAAGAACAATCTGGTGGAATGTAGGAGGAGGGGAATAAAGAAGAAAAGGAAGTGAAGTTGGTATGGCCATGTAACATGATAGGATAGCCTTTGCAAAGACAGTTCTTCAAAGAACAATCTGGTGGAATGTAGGAGGAGGGGAATAAAGAAGAAAAGGAAGTGAAGTTGGTATGGCCATGTAACATGATAGGATAGCCTTGCAAAGACAGTTCTTCAAAGAACAATCTGGTGGAATGTAGGAGGAGGGGAATAAAAGAAGAAAAGGAAGTGAAGTTGGTATGGCCATGTAACATGATAGGATAGCCTTGAAAGACAGTTCTTTTCAAAGAACAATCTGGTGGAATGTAGGAGGAGGGAATAAAGAAGAAAAGGAAGTGAAGTTGGTATGGCCATGTAACATGATAGGATAGCTTTGCAAAGACAGTTCTTCAAAGAACAATCTGGTGGAATGTAGGAGGAGGGGAATAAAGAAGAAAAGGAAGTGAAGTTGGTATGGCCATGTAACATGATAGGATAGCCTTGCAAAGACAGTTCTTCAAAGAACAATCTGGTGGAATGTAGGAGGAGGGAATAAAGAAGAAAAGGAAGTGAAGTTGGTATGGCCATGTAACATGATAGGATAGCCTTGCAAAGACAGTTCTTCAAAGAACAATCTGGTGGAATGGAATAGGAGGAGGGGAATAAAGAAGAAAAGGAAGTGAAGTTGGTATGGCCATGTAACATGATAGGATAGCCTTGCAAAGACAGTTCTTCAAAGAACAATCTGGTGGAATGTAGGAGGAGGGGAATAAAGAAGAAAAGGAAGTGAAGTTGGTATGGCCATGTAACATGATAGGATAGCCTTTGCAAAGACAGTTCTTCAAAGAACAATCTGGTGGAATGTAGGAGGAGGGGAATAAAGAAGAAAAGGAAGTGAAGTTGGTATGGCCATGTAACATGGTAGGATAGCCTTGCAAAGACAGTTCTTCAAAGAACAATCTGGTGGAATGTAGGAGGAGGGAATAAAGAAGAAAAGGAAGTGAAGTTGGTATGGCCATGTAACATGATAGGATAGCCTTGCAAAGACAGTTCTTCAAAGAACAATCTGGTGGAATGTAGGAGGAGGGGATAAAAGAAGAAAAGGAAGTGAAGTTGGTATGGCCATGTAACATGATAGATAGCCTTGCAAAGACAGTTCTTCAAAGAACAATCTGGTGGAATGTAGGAGGAGGGGAATAAAGAAGAAAAGGAAGTGAAGTTGGTATGGCCATGTAATATGATAGGATAGCCTTGCAAAGACAGTTCTTCAAAGAACAATCTGGTGGAATGTAGGAGGAGGGGAATAAAGAAGAAAAGGAAGTGAAGTTGGTATGGCCATGTAACATGATAGGATAGCCTTGCAAAGACAGTTCTTCAAAGAACAATCTGGTGGAATGTAGGAGGAGGGGAAATAAAGAAGAAAAGGAAGTGAAGTTGGTATGGCCATGTAACATGATAGGATAGCCTTGCAAAGACAGTTCTTCAAAGAACAATCTGGTGGAATGTAGGAGGAGGGGAATAAAGAAGAAAAGGAAGTGAAGTTGGTATGGCCATGTAACATGATAGGATAGCCTTGAAAGACAGTTCTTCAAAGAACAATCTGAATGTAGGAGGAGGGGAATAAAGAAGAAAAAGGAAGTTTGTTGTGGCCAAATATGATAGTAGCCTTGCTTCTTCAAAGAACAATCTGGTGGAATGTAGGAGGAGGGAATAAAGAAGAAAAAGGAAGGGGTATGGCCAAACATGAAGGATAGCCTTGCAAAGACAGTTCTTCAAAGAACAATCTGGTGGAATGTAGGAGGAGGGAATAAAGAAGAAAAGGAAGTGAAGTTGTTATGGCCATGTAATATGATAGGATAGCCTTGCAAAGACAGTTCTTCAAAGAACAATCTGGTGGAATGTAGGGGGAGGGGAATAAAGAAGAAAAGGAAGTGAAGTTGGTATGGCCATGTAACATGATAGGATAGCCTTGCAAAGACAGTTCTTCAAAGAACAATCTGGTGGAATGTAGGAGGAGGGGAATAAAGAAGAAAAGGAAGTGAAGTTGGTATGGCCATGTAACATGGTAGGATAGCCTTGCAAAGACAGTTCTTCAAAGAACAATCTGGTGGAATGTAGGAGGAGGGGAATAAAGAAGAAAAAGTGGAATGACAGTACTGAGGAGAAACCACTGGCAGAGTTCCAGGCTCTGGTACATGGCCATGACAGTTAGAGGAGACCTGTGGACAGCTCAGCATGTTGACAGCCCAATGACTTCTAGGGTTAAGGGGGAAAGAAGAAGATATCATGAACAGCTTTTAAAGTTACAATGAAGGGAAGCTAAACAGGTATAGAGAATATAGAAACCAATTTTTTTTCACTTGAGAAATTATCCAGTGCTACAGTCCAAATCAGTAAAGAATTACAATTATCAATGATTGTTGTTATAGTGATCATTCATTGAATCATTACCTTTTCTGGCGGAATTCATTCCAATTTATGAATGAATCCTGATGTGATAATGAAAGAATCAGTGCATATGCTAAGAGGACTGCCTTAGTAGGCCTAGCATAGAAATAAATACGATATGGAAGCCATTCATAAAGAAAGGAGTAAAGACAAATAACAACAAGTCTTCAACCACAGCAATCAAAACATGACATCCAGCAGCAGCAGCTCAGGTTAGTGTGACAAAAGAGAAAGGCGCTTACCAAGAAAAAGGGCATATGTACTCTGCATGATATGCTGAAGACAAAATAACCAAAATAGAAACAAATTAGTGGCAGCTGTTGCCATAACTGCATCTCAGATATGCTAATATTGTTTGTCTTCTCCAACCATCAGCCAATGAAAAATTTTCATTGATAAAATCAGTTGGTGATCTTGAATTGTGAAGTAGTTTATTTTTCTACCTCATCCATCAGCTTGTGTGTTGGATTTCTAACCATTTACTTATATTGGAATTTTTGAAATTGCACCTGCGATTTGTGATTTTGACATTTCTTTCTGCTCCAGAGTTTTTGTGTTTGGACTTGCAATATGTTTATTTCATTTTGTAATTGAGCTGCCATATCAATTTCTGAACATTTAGGTGTAAGACTCTAAGATTACTCCAGCAAATTGTCCTACAATGGCCAAGTGGGTAAAAACATTGGTTTCTGAATTTGGTGACATACTGGTTGTGAGTTCAATCTCAGTGGAATCAGGCAAGCAATAACTTCTACCACTTTGTCCCCAGCCCCTCACCCTCCGGCGTCTTCCTCTTTGGGTTGAGGTGTCCACTTGGTCAGAACTGAACTTAGGGGTAACTGGCCATACGCTCCCTGAGTATCCGCAGATTATTTCGACCAGTCAACTGGTCAAGTCCTACTTGCTGCCCACGCTGTGTTAGTTTTTAGATCCAGTAAGCGGGGTGTTGTCCATACATTCATGGTTGACTGAGGATGTGGACATGGCTGTGAGAGTTGGCGCTAGGAAGTTTTAGTATGTGGCAAAATAAAACAAGAAATAATATTTGCAGAAGCCGGATGACAATGGGGGGACATATTAACGTCTTTTATACAAGAAGATAACATCATAACAGAGGTTACAGGGAGAATAAAATCATTTAACATAAATGAGAAAAGAAAAAGACAAAATGCATCCAGCAAATTCTCAGCAGAGAGAGGGTTTGTGTGTGATAAATGCGTATTGAATCGCCTGGGGTAGGTTTATGACTAATAGTCCAGTCTCATACAGACTTCTCAGAACAGGGGGCAGTCTTCTTTCTCTCCTTCAAAATTCTCGCACAAATCTCTCGACTCACTGCGGTGATAGTCTTGTGACTCTTTTGATTACAGTCTCTTTCTCCGACTCTGCTTTATTAGCAAAATCTCAAGTTAATATAGAAAAAGGATCAGCAGATCACAACTGACCCTCAGCCCAGCACACAGCTACCATGAGTGCCAAAAACTATCCCTTGACATGTAAACCGATTCTCCAATTATTTACTTTATCTCAATCACGAGTTTTTCTCGCTTCACCAAAATTAGACTTTGGGATATCTAAACATTGATTCAGCCTTTTAATCAAAACAAATACTGTTAAACTAAACCAAGTATCTCACCCATCCCCATTGTTTACTAGTGACCCAGGTTTAAAACATGGCCTCCTGCCCTGAGATCGTGTTTCTCAACGGTAAACACACATCTTAACCCAAATTGTACTTTGATATATAAATAGCATTTCCACTTCCAGTCAATAAAAGTTATATTTGCGTGGGTGCATTCATGTGGGTGGTGTGTGTGTGTGTGTGTGTGTGTGTATACCTCTCTTTGTTACAAATGAACAGTACTAAATAAATAAAATAAGACATACCTAGATATGAGCAGTGGAATGGTAACAGTCTACTCCCATAGATTAAATAAAGGGTTCAGTTTGGAAATCCCTTATATAAACCTGAGGAAGGCCTGAAATATTGTGATAGAAACAACAAAGATGTGGACAATTTTCCAAATATAAATAGTGTAAATAAGGTAGAATATCTTACTTAGCAAATCAAAACATAATTTATAAAAGTAGTCACACTAAGAAATAATTTCATGTTTACGTATAAATAAAACCAAAACATCAACCTGAAAATATGAGTCATTTTCTTAGATAGCCTTGTCAGATTGAGACTTCTTTATCTGTCTCTATTTCTGAGATGAGGTATTATGTACACTATTTATATTATTTGAACTACTGTCCTCATCTTTGACGCAATATTTATCATCCTTCACTACCTGCATATATTTCTGAGATGAGGTATTATGTACGCTAGTTATATTATTTGGACTATTGTCCTCATCTTTGATGCAATATTTATCACCCTTCAGTACCTGTATATATTTCTGAGATGAGGTATTATGTACACTATTTATATTATTTAGACTATTGTCCTCATCTTTGACGCCGTATTTATCACACTTCACTACCTGTATATATTTTTGAGATGAGGTATTATGTACACTATTTATATTATTTGGACTGTTGTCCTCATCTTTGACGCCATATTTATCACCCTTCACTACCTGTATATATTTCTGAGATGAGGCATTATGTACACTATTTATATTATTTGGACTATTGTCCTCATCTTTGTTGTCATATTTATCACCCTTCAGTATCTGTGTCTATTCCTGAGATGAGGTATTATGTACACTATTTACATTATTCGGACTATTATCCTCATCTTTGACACCATATTTATTACAACGATTGGGACTTTCACATAGATGTCATGCATGGTGCCACATACTTTCAGAAATTTCTAAACTGTCAGCTGTATATAACTGCTTTCTAAGATCAATAGTTAAAAAAAGGATTTGAGTAACTGAAGCCTTTGGCAAAGATCACCTGTGTTTGAACATTGTGGAATGGTGATACAGAACCACAAACAAATAATTGTACTAAATAAGACAAAAAACACATTATATGAGGACTACCAAGTACCGACAACTAAAATGTATTTTACATGTAACTTGAAGAGAAAATAATAGCACAGTTAGAAATGAAACTCCTATTAATACTGGAAAGACTAATAGAAGCTACTGAACTTGAGAAACCTGTTTTCCTAAATAATTGTTTTAAGAGAAATATTTTATAAATTTTAACCGAAAGCAGTACTGGTTGCTTGGTAAATAAATGCTAAATGTTTCCTTATATAGAAATAGCTAATATTACCATTACCATAGAGTAATGCATTCTTGTTTGAGTGAGTGAAGCCAATGGGTTTTGGTGAAGACAATACCCCTTTGATCCTTGTAGATGTGATCTACAGAACCACAAACAAGGAACTGTGCCAAATAACAGAAACCACGTCACTTTAGGACATTCAACAACAGCTAATATCACATGTAACTTGAAGAGAAAATAATGGTATAATCAAAATGTTGACATACTTAAAATAAAAGGTTTAGGAAGGTTAATATTAACATTACCAATGTATCTATGTTACAGTCTATCAATGTTATGCGATGTTGATACTGTGGTTTGTATATCAAGAAGGATTTTACAGGATGGAGTTGTTAGCCGCAGGTTCAACTGGTTTTTAAGTTAGAGTTGTTGTTCTTCTAACCTAGTTGCTAACCAAGGCAAGAGAGCCAAGTCTACCCTGCTATTAAGCCAGACCTGGAGTGAAAAGAAATGGATTCATACCTTTCCAAAGGTATTTGTATGTTTTAAGCATTAAATGGATTCTTTTAATCTAGCATTATATTTAATTACTATAAACTTCATTATCTGTCTATATTTCTGATATGAGGTATTATGTACATTATCCGGACTATTGTCCTCATGTTTGTCACCATATTTATTACAACGTTTCAGCCATTGTATGCTCCGGCCTTCTTCAGGTGGTTGGAATGTTGAACTGAACCCTTTATTTTGCTCACTGGGGTAGACTGTTCTAGTTCCATGTGCCATGTTTTAATGGATGTCAGTTATCAGTTATCTCTTGTTAATTCCCCTCTCCAAGTTCTCCACTGCCTTAACTGTGTATTGAACTCACAATCTTTGGGTCCTGTCACTGGATCTAACTAACACCTTTATCGACTGTGCCATGTGTCCTTGAGGACCATTCTAACCACCTTAAGAAGGCTGGAGTGTACAATGGCCAAAACGTTGTTAAAAATATGGCGACAAAGATGAGGACAATAGTCCGAATAATGTAAATAGTGTATAAACTTCATTATATTTAGTTAATACATTATATATAATTACTTTATTGTAAATATGTAGTTAAATG